GCAGGGGTGGTACATCCCTCGGGCCGCCGCCATGGCATAAGTGGTTTGCGATGAAACCCGGGAAAAGCCCGATTATTTCGCGGGGGGGAGAAGATAAAAACAAAGGGCTTTTTTCCAAAGTTCAGGTTTGAGACCACAAGAAAAAAGGCCGGAAAAAATTTCCCGGGGGTGGCCCCCCCCCCCCCCCCACCAGATAAGCGCCTCTTAAGGGTGTTGAATCTAAATGAATAAATCCTGGTCTGCAATAAGGGAATGTTAAAGCCGCCATCTCTAAGTGGAAGCGCTAAGGTTTCTCTATTCACCAATGGGTGTTTTTACTCCAGAAAAAAGCATAAGTCGACCGCTCGGTTTTTGAGACGACCAAGGGGGGCATAGACAACGAGGTAACGTTGTACCACAAAGTGGATGTTAGTAGGGTGTTGATCAGGAGAACCTTCCCTTGCCTTTTAAACTCACTCTGCGGATAAGATTAAAGATAGAACCCTCGAGCTCTCACATATGTCATTAATACAAATTAGAAAAAGTAGAGGTCCTAGAACGGTTCCTTGTGGCACCCCGCATTTAATTGTCTCGCTATCTGAATTGAATGATTTGTACTTAACAATCTGTTCTCTGTTAGTTAAGTAACTTCTAAACCTATCGAGCACTATTCCCCTGATTCCATAATGTTCTTTTGCAAAGTCTAAGAACACCCCAATAGTATATTCATTGTTATCAATTGACCTCAAAATCCTTGTTAGAAGCTACGTAGTAGCTAAATTAAGTGATCTTTTCTTGCAAAATTTGTATTGGTTATCAGAGAGTATGTTATGTCTTTCTAAATATTTCAGAAGTCTTTTATACGTCAGTTTTTCTAGTATTTTGCTAAAACACGGAAGAATAGATATTGGTCTATAGTTCTTAAATTGGTCCCTTTCATTTGCTTTAAAAACAGGAGTTACTAATGCAATTTTTAGCTCTTTTGGTAGTAGGCCAGTGAGAAATGTTTGATTAAATATGTATGTCAGAGGTTGAACTGTGTATTTTGATATCTTTTTGACAAGTTTTGGGGCTAGATCATCATATCCCGTGGCCTTGTTTTCCTTTAATTGGCTTATCTCAACCACTACAGGCATATTCTCCGCTGGTGTAGTATTTTCGGAATTAGTCGAAGTTTCATTTTGATCTGCGGCCATCCGTTGTTTTACCTCATCACGGTTGTTCCTTCGATCGCAATTATAGGACATTTGCCTTTTTCCCTTGCAATTTCGCAAATGATCTCAGGGCATCGTTTGCGAGTATACCCAAGATCTTTGCATTCACTGCAGACAGGTTGTTAATGGTTGTGAATAACTCGGCACCACTCGCCGCCGATTCGTAGTGAATATGGAATAGATCTCTTCTCTAACACCATCTTTATTAAACGATTACCATTCTCCAATCCGGCGAAAGGATGGCGAGCTTTATATTTTAAGCGAATAAGATCCCCCTTAACCTCGTCATACTGGTTGAGGACTTTTTTGATTTCATCATCCTCGACATTAGTCAACTTGCCGTGCGGTAAATGACACGAAACGTGGGTGTCATCGTCCTCCAATCCTTCTTCTACCAGCGCCTCTGCATCTCGTTGATTTAAAACCTCGATTAAGTATTCTCCATATCCCAAATCTTGGAAAACAGTCCCATTTGATTCAATCGCCCCATCAATAGCTTTTTTAACTCCTTCGGGGTCATATTAAACGGCATCTTAAAGGTAACACTTCGAACCTTCCGGTCGGCCATCTTGGGCTTCCTGAAATACAGCAAACGGCTCCTTCAAAATAAACGTTCAGCACAGATTTCAACTCAAAAGACAAAAATAAAAGTCGAGTGGTGACTTAGGAACTGACTGGAAATAAATTCCACACAGTGTCGTCAACAATAACCACAAAAACAAAACTAATTCTCCGAGCACGTGGGAACCGGTTTTTCCCCTGTAGTGTTGTCGTAGACGACGAGAGCAAGAGGCCGAAAGGCAAGATCAAATAGTTGAGTTCCGTCGTCTTGCTTCTGTATTGGACTCAGTGGCCAACCCTGACGTGGGCAGCCAGTGGAAATAGTTTGACAACCTAACTGCAGTGAAATGTTTTACTCCATAAAAAGGTCATCGTGTTGCTAATCTAAATCACAGTTTCAATACCATGCTAAGGATGGACCTTGTGGAAAAGAGGAAGCTACACTAGGGAGTGTGGCAATCTTCATTGTAAGGGTTTTCCTGTCTTCGTTTGGTTTAGAGTTATTGGCAGTCTCTTTGGCTAGTCTCTTACGATATATAGTTTAAATAAAAAACTAACAAGAAAAGAGAAAAAATATCACGTAAAGCTCGCGAGCGGACAGAAGGAAAATAGTTGGCGAGAAGAGCAAACGGAGATGTCTACAACACGGGCCATTTGCAGGTGGTCTCCCGCCAAGGTACTAGCTCCGCCCGACAGGACTTTACTTCGGTGTTCGCATGGGAACCGGTTTTTTTTTCTAAAAAGGCTCCGTAGAGCTGTTTATTTACAAATAACCATAATCAGTAACGTTTATATCTACTTGGTATTTCACATGCGTATTTTCATGACTATGAAAATCTAATTTACATCTTGTTTTACAGTTAGATTGTGAACGCTAGTTGATTATTTTCAACTTTGGCGAGAGCTTGGCACCAGTCAAAAAAAAAGTAAAATTGAGTCCAGTGTTGAACATACAGCTTGAACTGATAACGCAGATGTGACTTGACAATGGAGCCAAAGATGGCCGCGGGTGGTAAGGTCTAATCATGGACCCTATGTGCCAAACAGCTGATTTTTGAATTCCGCTTCTACGCATGGTTAAGATCCAGTTTATTAAGTCAATATGCTTTTTTCTAAAGAGTCGCTAGTTTGCGGGACTTTGGCCAATACTTATATTGTTTTGTTGCAAAATAAACATACTTCACTTGCTGAAAATGGTGAAAATTTAATGAGCGCCCAGCCTCGAATAAACGCCCACACTCAAGGTCCAAAAATTTAA